GGCAGAGCCAGCTGTCACTCACGCAGCTGGGCGGATCCCGTCATCTAAGTCGGGATCCGCTCCAGGTGCGGCGTCTCGCGGTATACTGAGCTTAGGGTGACGGGAGGACGCTAGTCCTCCCGTTACCCCAAGGAAAACTATGGGGAAAAACACTGACCTCATAGTTCTCCTTTAAGTGCTGAGGTTTCCTACCCCTGGGATAGAGTATTGAAGGGTTATAACCCCTGTCTGCTGTTTTTTTTGCCATCTGTTTAACATTAGGGAGATTTCCCTTTACTTCCTGTCTGTTAACCATAACAGGAAGTGAAAGGAAATCCTTAAGATTCTCAATGGGGTTAAGGTCTGGACTCTGTGGTGGCCAATCCATGTGTGACAATGATGTCTTATGCTCCCTAAATCACTCTTTTATAATCTGAGCCCAATGAATCCTGGCATTGTCATCCTGGAATATGCCCAATGTGCCATCAGGGAATAAAAAAATCCATTGATGGTAAAGCCTGATCATTCAGTATATTCAGGTTGGCAGCTGACCTCATTATTTGGTGACATATAGTTGCTGAACCTAGACCTGACCAACTGTAGCATTCTCAGATCATGACGTTTATCCAATGGAGGGCTCTGACCTATTTACTTAACTGAATCCAGGAGGTGACTTTTTTTTGGCCAGGCAATGTATGATAGAAATACAACCTCAGAATACAGTACATAGAAATGCCAATGTTCTATTATGTATTATTTTATTCAGGTAACACTGAAGCAATCATCTCTTTTTACGGATATAAATTGGCCTGAGATGAGGAAGAGCAAAGCCAGCTACAAAGAAATCATTTCTTTTCTAGAAGCCTTTTCCTTATGACCACTTCAGAGTGAACGTGTCCCGGGAGGAATATGTAGTCCGCCATTGCTGATGTCTTCTGAACATGCTGGTTGCCTGGCTGTCTTAAAGCCCGACTATATCTGTAAAAATAAATCAAAGCAACTGGACTTGCTGTATTTTTCTTGAATTTGTCTTCACTGGTCATCCAACCAGCTTTCTCAATTCAGAATGATGAGTTCAGAATTGAGAAATAGACATGTAAGCTGCGGAAAAATTCAGTTCGGTTCGGATATTTCGTTATTTTGGAATTTAGGATTCGGATCCGAAATTCAATTCGGTTCGGGTTCGGACGAAATCCGAATTTCGTTAGTTTCGGATGAGTTGACAAATATTAATTGCGAACACCACAGAAAACCATATGCAGATATTAATACTAAAGCTGAATCTCCTAGACCCGAATGGCATTCGGGATCCGAATTGCATTGGGGAGCTCCTGAATGCCATTCGGGTCTAGGAGCCTCAGCTTTAGCATGATATATATATATACACACTGTATATGGCTACCATGTTGCCGTAACAAAAGTTCGTATTCAGACCCATTCGGATGCATTAAACCAAAAAACACATCAGATTGGCCAGAAAAGTCACATGTCCGATTCAGTTTAGTTTTTGAACGAAATTCGGACGGGGTCCGAAATTCGCAAACAGAAGTTCCGATTCTGGCACATTCGGATGCATTGGGATTCGGAAATTTGGATGTGTCCGAATGTCCGACTTTCGGAAAATTCTCAAGAATTTTGATTCGGAACGAAGCGAATCGCACATGTCTATTGAGAAAGCTGGACGGATGACCAGCAAAATGTCCTCAAGGAAAATACAACAAGTCCAGTTGCTTTGAATTATCTTTTACAGATATAGCATGGCCTGGGTGAATGAGAAACTTCACAGACTTAAAGCCCAACTGCTCTCAAAAATTATTTTTTCCCACATTACCCTCCCACCCACCTCTAACCCAACCTGACAGGCTTTTGTGTCACCTTACCTTGTGTAGCCAGATATACTCCCCTAAGTGGCCTCTCTAGGTTCCTCACCGGCATTGTTTGTGGGTGGGGGGGTCGTGAATCCAATGGTGCAAAGGCACATGAGACTACCGGTCCCCCTCACTCTCCTCTTCTGATGTTGGTCCTCTTCTGGATCCTGAGAGGACCCTAGCCAATGGACATCCAATAGGAAGTGTCCACGTCATGCAGGTGCTGACATGGGCACTCAAAGAAGAACCCAAGCAGGAAGTAACCAGAAGAGGGGAAGACCCTGGGCTGCGCCGTCATAGATAGGGATTTTTTCTTTAACATAGGGACCAGATAGCGGGGTGTGGGAGGGAGAGGTGGGTGGCATTTATCATACAGCTGCACTTTAAATACTTCAAGTCACAGACCCAGGACAAGTATGTAGGAGGTCAGGCCTCCTGATATGCTTAAATGTATCTACACCCATAACATTTTTCTCATTTTTGGACACAGTGAGGACACAGTGAGGAAGGATTAGAACTAGAGGCTGCATTGAAGAGATTCCTTCACTTCCTGTCTGGTAAAAAAAAGTCCGTCCCCTGAGGACAGGAAGTGAAGGTAAATCTCTAACATCAACACAGATAGAAGTAAAAATGCTTGTTGTGAGTTAAATGAGGAATGCTGGAACCTCTCTCATCATTTTATTGCTGTCTGTTTCCCTTTTGCAGACTTCTCACTTCCTGTCTGATAATAGGTTGTCCCCAGAACAGGAAGTGAGGAGAAATCTTTCTAACAGCAACACAAATGGAAGTAAAATTCCTTTCTGCAAATTAAGTATGGGAATGCTGAAACCTCTGCCAACTTTTTATTGAAGTCTGTTTCCCCGCTGTACATTTTAACTCACTTCCTGTCTGATAATAGATTGCCCCAGAACAGGAAGTGAGGGAATATCTCTCAAACAGTAACACAGACAGAAGTAAAAATGTTTTTGTACGTTAAGTAGGTGAATGATGCAACCTATCATGTTTTTATTGCTTTCTTTTTCCCTGATATTTTTCCTCACTTCTGATAATAAGATGTCCCTAGAACAGGAAGTAAAGGGAAATCTCTCTAACAGCAACACAGACGGAATTAAAAATGTGTATTAACAAGTTAGGTACGAGAATGCTTTTATTGCTATTTCCCTGATGCAGATTTTACCTGACTTCCACTCTGATAATAGGTTGCCCCCAAAACAGGAAGCGAGGGGAGATTTCTCCAACACATCCCTGGATCGTAGTAAAACCTGACAGAAGTTCTAACCTAATCTAAAACTAAAAAAACTAAAAAGTTTTGGGTATAAATACACTTTTTCTTGATCAGTGACTCATTAATGAAGCCATTTGGTCAGAATAACAGAGAGTCAACCAGCATTTTTAGAATAAGTTAGTGATGGCAGCCTCCAGCTTTCACCCATACAAGATTCATGACTACACCAGCAATGCTCTGATTGTGAGCCCCCAACCTGTTAGTGACTCAGATTTAAGTCTGATATAGACCTGCTCTCTGCTGTCATAAATGGTAAAGGGAACAAAAAAAAAAAACAGCCGATAAACACAGCGTCTCAAATGATATTTTTTATCTCTACACAGCCAGATGCTTCAAATTTTCTGGGCAAGAATTCCAGGCAGATCCGTCCTGTTAAACATTCTGTATTGTGCTAACTGGAAAGTGATGACTTCAGTCATTTTCATTTGTAAAAGCCATACTGACTTAAAGGGCATGTTCCAGAAGAACCACGGGGCTTATAATCTATCCCTCTCTTGGGGCCCCTTCACCACTGTACAGTCACAGCTAAAATATTGCAGCAGAATTTAAAGGGAATCTGTCAAGATAGCTAAATTGGAGCTGCCGCTGCTAACTTAGTTTTCCAGAGATGGAAGTCTATCATCCTAAACACGTCTTTACTTCCTGGTGGGTCACGGACCTGAACAAGCCACAGAAGTGCACCAGATATGTGCATTCATGTTCCAGGTAAGGCGGAAGGATGACCTTCCGCCTTGTAAAACACATTGCCAATGCCAGCTTGCATACTGCTGTCTTGGATATTGAGGTTTTAAAGGTGCCACTTCTGAAAGTAGTATCTCAAACTTTTTGCAATAATGAATTCAGATTAAATAAATATGCTTTGCCCAGCAATGTATGTCTTAAAATTTTTGCACTAAGTCATCATGTTTCTGAACAGCTCTTACTATTTAAGCTCAGCTTCCATTAACTTCCTGTCCACTCCAAGATCACAAGAGACAGAGCAGTCTCCAGCAGCTGTTCATCTACTAGCTTGGAGAAGGGAGGCGGAGGAAGGAGGAAGGAAGGAGAGGGGAGCAGGGGGAGGGGAGTGTCTTGTCCTGCTGTGCCTATGTGTTTGTGGAAACATAGAGCTTACTAGCAAACACAAGGGTAGTTCCAGAGGACACTAAAAGGATATCAGGGCCAGTGCTCATGGAACCATGTGATTCTGCAGGAAACTAAAGCAGCATCCATTGTAAGTGATTTAACCAGCATTCAAAATAGCTTGAAAACCTTTTGACTGTAATATGACATGATGTTTTTATATTCTAACTCCGCATAGGGACTGAACTCACCATGCATAATTATATTCATAGGTATAGGTAAACGGGCAGCTGTGCTAGTTCGCTTGTGTGTCTCCCTACAGACCGCACCATCTGAGTCCTTCAAATAAAGTTTTCCTTAATCCTTTAAGCTGAACTCCTAGGTTGACCTATAATATATATATATATATA